CTCACAGGACCACTCAACACATCTTCGCTGGTGAGGACACATGACACCCTGTGGCCCAGAGTGGGGGTGGCGGGGCCATGAGGGACAACAGGTCTGCTGCCCCAACACAAGGGCCACTAGCTCCCTTCAAAGGACTTTTCTGGGTTCTTCCCCTTTCTGAGTGTTTCATAAATGTCAAAGATTTATAGTGTTTATTTGCTAAAATACTCGCCCAGTGTCTCCAGGAGCTTAAGGGGAAAGAAGAAAGATGAAGAGAAAATATCTAATAACTGGTGTTTTGGAAGGGGGATGGAGACTGAAATCCCGCTTATTCAGATAGAATTGCAGAATCTGGAGACCACGGACCTAAGAAAGTATCTGTCCAACGTCCCCCCCACCTCCTCCTGCAAGATCCCCAATTTGGCCTGTATAAATTCCTGAAATGGAATTCATATGGAACACTTCAAAAAGTAGCAGATTTTTAAAAACGTTTATCTGTTTTGGAAAGGGGGAGAAGGGGCACAGAGAGAGGGAGACACAGAATTCAAAGCAGGCTCCAGGCTCTGGGCTGTCAGCACAGAGTCCTATGTAGGGCTTGAACCCACAAATTGTGAGATCATGACCTGAGCCAAAGTTCGATGCTTAACCGACTGCACCACCCAGGCGCCCCAGCAATGTGTATTTATTGGCTTTTATCTTACCATGATTTGGCCTAAATCTGTAGACCTAAAATCTGAGAAAGCCATTACTATTTTTTTTAATTTTTAAAAAGTTTATTTATTTTGGGGGAGAGAGAGCATGCATGTGTGAGTGGGGGAGGGGCAGAGAGGGAGAATCCTAAGCAGGCTCAGCACCATCAGCACAGAGCCTGATGTGGGGCTCAAACTCACGAACTATGAGATGACCTGAGCCAAAGTCGGATCCTTAGCCGACTGAGCTACCAGGTGTCCCCCTCGGATTTTTTTTTTTTTAAGTAATCTCTACACTCAGTGTGGGACTTGAACTCACAACCCTGAAATCAAGAGTCCCATGCTTCACTGACTGAGCCAGCCAGGCGCCCTGCAAAAGTTCTTTGAATTAAATGTAATATAGCTTTTATTTATTTTTAAACATTTATTTGAGAGAGAGGGAGAGAAAGAATCCAAAGCAGGCTCCAGGCTCTGAGCTGTCAGCACAGAGCTCCATGCAGAGCTTGAACCCACAAACCATGAGATCATGACCTGAGCCAAAGTCGGACACTTAACTGACTGAGCCAGCCAGGCGCCTCCTGGTATTTGTATGTTAAAAACAAACAAATCATTGAACTTATACACTGAAGAGGGCACATTTACTGTCTGCAAATTATACTGCATAAAGTTCATTTTAAGAAGCTAAAGAGAGGCGTCTAGGTGGCTCAGTTGGTTAAGCGTCCGACTTTGGCTCAGGTCACGATCTCACGGTTCATGAGAGTTCAAGCCCCATGTCAGGCTCTGTGCTGACAGCTCAGAACCTGGAGCCTGCTTCAGATTCTGTGTCTCATTCTCTCTCTGCCCCTCCCCTATTTGTGCTCTGTCTCTGTCTCTCAAAAATAAGTAAATGTAAAAAAATTTTTAAAAAAGTTAAAGCTTTAGAGCGCTTACGTTTCACTTTTATTTTAAATGATTATTTTTGAGAGAGTGTGTGAGTGGGGGAGGGACAGAGAGAGGGAGAGAGAGAGACAGACAGACAGACAGAGAGACACAGAATCCAAAGCAGGCTCCAGGCTTCGAGCTGTCATCGCAGAGCCTGGTGCGTGGTTCGAACCCACAAACCATGAGATCATGACCTGGGCCGGAGTGAGATGCTCAACCGAGCCACCCAGGCACTCCCAAATAATTTTTAATATATCAGCATTTGCCATATAGAAGATATAATACATAAGAAATGATTCACTGTTGATCTGGACTTCACATGTAACTGGGCATCGTATATTTTATCTGGCAATCCTAAATTGAAGGTAATAGGCATTTATTCCAGGCCAGAGTACGCTGATCTATTCACAGCCTTCTCGGACAGCTCCTTAGCTGCGCTCTGGCATGTCACATTCCTCCTGAGCCCATAAGCACCCCCATCCCCACCCCCACCCCCCCGCCATGCTCCATGCTGGAAGTTCAGCCCTTCCTTCTCCCCGCTGTCTCCAGAGCTGGCTTGAATGGCCACTCACTGCTTAAGGGCAAGGAGATAAATAAAAGAAAAGCAGTCCCCACCCCACACTCTCTCTTCTAGGCCAACAAGCCCCCAAAAGCGGGCCACTGGAATCAAACAGCAGAATCGCAAGCTGGTCTATAATCAAGGCGGGGGGCCGTGTGCCGCAGACCTTTGTCCACGTTTATTTTCCCATTGGGACGTGAAGTAAACAATCTGCTGGCCATTTGCATTTAACCCTATTTCCAGGGTTTTGGCTTTTAAATGCATCTCAAGGAGCTCCAGTCCTCGCACAGACAGTCCCGCAGAGGCTGCGTCCTGTCGCGGCTGTCAACGGCACCTGGGTACAGGATCGCACATCAGTCTCTGCCTGCTGGGCACGAGCCACAGCTGCAACGAGCTTTCAGAAAAATGGGCCAGGCCAAAGGGGCTCCCTGTCAGTGCTTTTCAATGTTCCCAGTGCAAAGATAAAATTTCACTTTCACAGGGCTACACAGACTAAAAATAAAATTGGAAAAAAAAAAAAAAAAAAAGCCCGATCTTGTTCTGTATCATTTTTCCCCATGGTCAGGTCCCATTCAGGTCACTGGCTGTGCACGGAAATCGGTTATGAACAGTTGCTTGGTTCTGCCTTGCCTGGGGTTTGAGGCTGTCAGCCAGCCATGCCCTCTGTGATGGCCCCGGAGAGCAGAGCAGACAAGGATACTTGGGGAAGGTTCGGCCGAGGGTAAAGAGGGAATCTGGTCAGCTTTTCCTCGAGGCTCTAGCAGTGGGCTTCCTTAGGTTTTCTTTCACAGACCCGGAGTCTGGTTGAAAACAGGCCTAGCGGGTCAAGGACGGGGCAAGGAAATGCTGTGCCGCTGCCTCTGGATCGAGAGGGCAGGAGAAACCAAGGGATAGCGAGTGCTCGTCACCATGTCACCTTCTCTTTTTCTTATTTTCCACTCCTGAGTCACTTCCTCTTTCTGATTTCCTCAAAGATGTCATTTGATGTAGGGTGGAGATACATCAAATAATGACACCAACTTACTGACAGAGAAGGTGAGATGGTTCTCGGTACATGGGATTAGTCATAGTCCCAGAACGGAAGTCCTGAATCCATACTGGACGATGGCTTAAACATTTCTGTACAGAGCTCGTCAAGGACCTCATTGCTTCCCAGCACCCAGCCCCTGCATATCATTTCTGGATTATTCTGCCCATCGCTGACATTCCTCCCCCTGACCCCCAAGGCTGCCATCAGTCATTCTGGGCTGTCAGAGAAGATACTCAGGTGCTATGCCAGGTCTAAACCTCCTTGAAACAAATCATTGAAAATAATCCCTCCCTCTTCCCCTTTTATTCTAGCCCATTCTTTTCTAAAATGTTTATTTATTTAGAGACAGTGTGAGTGGGGGAGGGGCAGAGAGAGAGAGGGAGACAGAACCTGAAGCAGACTCCAGGCTGTCAGCACAGACACGATGCGGGGCTCAAACTCATGAACGAGACCATAACCTGAGCTGAAGCTGGACACTTAACCGACTGAGCCACCCAGGTGCCCCTCAAGTTTTTACTTCTATTCCCTAAGAGAAGTGGTTCTCAAAACTTAACATACGTGATAATTACATGGGGAAAAACGTTGAAGCGTGTTCTGTGCCTTCAGGGGGTGGCTACTCAACTGTATGCACTTGTAACTACTAAATAAAAAGGGTGGATTTTACATTTAAATTATATCTTAATAAGAGATTTTTTAAGAATCACTTAGGGAGGAACTTAGTTCTGAATGTGCAGACCTGAGATGGGTCCAAGGAGCCTACAGTTTAACAGGTATCCCTGTCCTTATACAGGCGGCTCAAGGGTCACATTTGGAAAAAACACTGTAGATACAACATCTACCCAGCAGAGATCCACGCTGCTGCCTCCCCCACCAGCAGGAGCCTGGGGCGCAGACCTGGATTCTGTTCTCGACTCAGCCTCAACCTCTAAGAGCCTTCACGCCCCTGGGTGATATGCTTCTAATCTGAGGAAATAAAGGAGAGAAACCCTAAAAATATTCATAGAAGTCTTAAGAAATAGTTTTAGACTCCATGCAGCAAAGAGTTGCACTTTGATGACGGCGGACACCTTTTCCAGGTATTAGTCTCTGTTCTGATAGCAAGTCGGCCGGAGAATCCACTTTCAAAACTAACAGGGTGCCTTCGCTGCTCCGACAGCTTGGAACGGCTCACAGGTTTATTTCCAAAGGTGGCTGGCTGACCAGTGTACGCTGTGCTGCTGAGGGTGCGCCCGCTGCGGGACCTGCCAGCCAGCCTGCTGTGTCCGTCCGGGCGGGTGGGGGAACAGCGGGCATTTTTGCCATAGACGCTACCCTCCTAGCCCCCCCCCACCTCCTTCCCAGAAGGCACATTAGCCCTGCCAAGACCGGTGTGGGGCTGCAGGGAACACGCCCTCTCAGGAGGCCTTCCTTTTGGAGAAAAGGCCCTGAGAACTAGAGGAGCGGGACAGGTTGTGCTCCCAGCTTCTGTGCTTAGACTCCAGCCTCCCCACTCCTGCACAAGGCCGCGTACCCTTCCCAGATTTAGGATGCCAGGAACATGCCAATCCGTGTAGCCACAGCAATCCCTGGAGTTGTAGAACTCAGCTGTGAAGAAGGGCACGTTTTGAGCCCAAGCCATTTACTTGGAAGTTTTTCTGTCATGCGTTCCCACTGAGATCAATTTACAGGTGAACATACTAGGAGAGATTTTCATATCAGGTTTTCTGAATAAACCATTAAGCTCTCAGCTACTATTTTATACAAAGAATGGGGTAAAATCCTCCATATGACATTTACTGGCAGCCGAGTTCTCAAGTTTGGGAAAAGATGCACAGACCACAAATGAATCTTCTAAACTGTATTTGGAACTCACAAAACATTTGGAACTGACACATCTTCCTAGAGACAAGGCCCCGAGCACAGAAGTCTGTCCCCACCATAAAAAGTTTCACATTAACTGTACAGAACAAAATTAGCAACGAGTGATCTTTGGCACTAGAATGGGTAATTCCTTAGCTGTTCATACAACATCCAAACTGCACACATGACATTAGATTGCTGGTTAACAGTTGAAGTTTATGTTTAAATGGTCTTAAAAAGCTAGAAGTCCTAGCCAAGTTTTTCAGTATCAATATGCTAACCGTATCCAATACTTAGTGCCTGAGGTAGAGACTTCTGTAAGAGCTTTATTAAAGAAAACACAATCAGAAAGTACAATGAAGAAAAATTTCCACTCTTGGAAGCATATAGCCAATGCCTTTGCTAGTTCAACAAGCCAACCTGGAAATGTAAAATGCTTACCCCTTTCATTTCTGCAGAGACTTTGCATGGGAGTAAGACTTTCTTTTGTTTGGACTCCTGCATTATAGAATACTATGGATTGCCTCTTTTTAAAAAGTACGATTATTAGGGTGGAATGTGCATGAACCAAACTCACTTAACATTATTATTTAAAACAACACAATTGCATTAGGGACAAGTAAAATCTTTTAGTCTCTCCATGATGTGTGGCCAGAATGTAACGTTTAGTTCCAAACTCTACATTGTAGAGGTGCCGGGGGCTTTCTTATTTTCAGGTGGTAAGGCTCTTCATGAGATTACATGATTTTATACAGATACAATTAATCTAATACCTGGAATCTTCCAATCAAAATGGCCTGTAACTGTGTATCTTGGACTTTCAGGTCTTTTCTTCAGTCAAGAAAGACCCTTCCTTTATAAAAAGGCATTTCTTGAAGTAGGTTCAAGTATAACATACTCACCTTTTACTGCAAGCTAGCTGGCCAAAAATTCATCGTAAACTGTAGATGTTATTTTTAGAGGTATACGGTCTCTTAAATGAGACAGAAGGAATAAAGCATGGACATTTATAAGCTGAAAGGGTAAAGCATCAGTATGACTAACGGGAATGACATTTAAGTCCATTCTTGGTATGAACGGCTTAAAGCCAAGTGTTTTAAGCCACCTGTGACCCTGTGATGGAGAGCATTGGAGTCTTACAACCATCATGTAGTTTTGTCAACTATTTTTTCCTTGAAGATCCAAGTTCAGACACATGACCACTAGTTGGTTTTTCTTAGTATATGTGCTGCCGAAGCGAGCACATTGGTTTTTAAATACCTTTACCATAGGCTCTAACTACTTCATAAACACTTCTGAGAAGTAGCTCCCGGAACTTGGAAAAGTCAGGTGAACTGCCTGATGTCACACCATTAAGAAATGACAGAGTTAAGGTACCGAAGAAGGACTCTTTTTTCTCTTTAAGACATGGGCGGCCTTCTACAAGCCAGATTATGTGGGAGTTGGCGGGGCCGTGAAGACCATTTTCGATGGCAAATTTCATTTTTATCAAAAGTATTTTTTTTACAGATTAGTCAAGGAAAATCCCCAGAAAAACGGACTTCAAATGAGATAACATACTTGTGGTTTTCAGTGAGCAAATACAGAAATAGGAAAAACTAAGTCACAAGGCAAAGAAAAGTCACAAAGTGAACACTAACACTCTTTAAGAGAATGTTATCTAACCCCCCTTCAAATTCGAATTAAGAAAAAAGCCTGTTGTATACATCTCTTCTGAATAACACATTTTAACACAGATGATGAGCCAAACACACACACCACAACTGAATAAATCCAACAGTATATTGAGAAATATAAACATGTTGACCGTATCCTGGTTCTAGTAGATGAAGGGGCTAAACACTCAACTATTTAGAGAAGCAAGTGTCATAGGACAGGCATGCCTTTGCGGCTTATTTCCAAGGGATGTGATTTTGATAGGAAAAAAAACAAAACCTGCTGACACACATTTTTATACTAATACCTGCAAGTTCCAGAATAACCAGAATGATATTTTTATAGATTCGACGTAGACCCAATTCATGGGTTAAGCTAGCCCCCCATAGGGCCATTTTCCTAATGGAGGTCCATGACATGCCATTAGGGATGAGAATGGCTTTGGCAAACTCCCACGTTCAAAGGCTGAAAGAAATGTACCAAGAAACAGCAGTGAGAGTTGGGAACTCTGTGTCATAGTTAAAACTTTGGTGAGAGAACAGACTTGCACATGTGAAGTGACTTAGGATATCTCCCTATAAACTTTAAGATGTTGGGAAGAATTATCCGGACACAAAACAACATTCTCAACGGAACAAGCCAAGAGGAATCGCCGAGGGCACTGTTTGTAAGGAACTAAGTGGATGCTTCTGGCGCTACTTGTCTTTGCCTGGCATTTCTGCTCGACTCCTTTCCTCTCTGTCACTCTCGAGTCCCCAGCCTTTCCGTGGGCGAAGCCACTGTCTCCTTCAGGCTCTGTGTAGATGTGCGTTGAGTGTCTGTGAATCTTCTGTCCTTTGGTTAAGAAATCTCCTTGAAGCTCTAGTGACACAAGAATGACCTGATAAATCTTCACCTTAGCTGTGCTTAGGTGTTTAACATCTTGCTTGTTTTCTAAGAATAAGCACTTGAATTTCCTTATAAAACACTTGGTATGATGGAAGCTGCGTACATCTGCTAACGATCCGGCCACGTCAGGTCTATTGTTTTGTGAAATTCCCCTTCAGTCTCTCCTGAGTTTACTTTCTGCTGAAGGTGTTTAGAGAGTCCAAGGAGTGTGTCTAGGCTAAAATTTATAGATTGGGGGGGGGGGGGGAAAAAGGCTAATGCATGGCTAGAAGAGAAGTGGACATTTTCCTGAGTAGAACAAGTAAAGAAATGAAAAAGAAACATCCAAAGGGTGCTGGTCCGGGATTCTCCTAAATAATAAAGAACTGACATTTTAAAATTAAGACATAAAAAATAATACTTTTGTAATTTCAAAGTCAGAGGCGGCTTGTTTTCTATGAGAAAAGAGTGAGACACTCCAACTGAAAAGATCCCTGGGAAGCAAAGGCCCCTTCCTTTAAGGTTCTGCTCACCAGCTCATAAACTATAAGACAAACGATGTGAACGGGCTGGGAGAGCTTTGCTCTCCAACATAATATAGGCCTGAAGATATCAATGAAATACTGCGTATCACAAGTGTTATGTGAACATTAATGCTGGTCATTAACAAACAGATATGCCTGTAGGGAATGAATTCTGAAATTCTCTTCAGGTCTATTTACAGGCCGTTCTGACCGGTCTTCCACACAGAAATCTACACTGGCAGAAGTACAGAAATGATCAAAGTTACATGGCAAATTACCAAAAAAAAAAAAAAAAAAAAAAAGAAAAAGAAAAAAGAAAAAGGAATTCGGATTTGGGCCTTCTGCCACATGCAATACAAACGGCTCAGAGTATTTTTAGCCTATGAGGGAATTTTTTTTATTTCCAATGTTAACATCCAAAGAAAATATCCGACCCTGGTTTCTTGAAACCAGAGAGGCAGATTTCTGGATAGAGATTTAAGGCGAATCAAATAGGTCCACATAGTAGGGCTCATTTTCCAGGCACAGCTTTGCCATAGAGGAATCTTAGTAACACCTCTGGTCAGGGCTGCCACACTGCTCCCAGACTGGGGACACCTTTGAGAATCGACCTTTTGGAAGAACCTAAATTATGTACACACCGTCAAGGCATATGCTGCCAATCCTTGATAATGAGAGGAATCCTGCAGTTAATCATCAATATTCTCTGAAAATACAAACAGGTTTGCAAAGACTGGAGACAGGTTTGGGTAGGTGAATAAGGTTCAGAGATTTCTTAAGTAAAGGAGAAAAGATCTCAGCCTCCTTCTACTGTGGACTTTCTTTCCAAGACTGAAAACTGATGCTTCCTCCTCTGGCTCCTTACGTATCCGAAATCTTCCCTGCAACGCGAGAGGCACTTTTATTAGGTATGGCGTCTATTAAAACTTTAAACCCAGGGTGGAATTTGCTGAACAAAGTAATAACACTAGCCTAATAGGCATTACCTGAAGGACTTTTTTTCCTTTAATATAAAAGTATAACTATAGTGGTCCAATATACAAATACAAAAGAAAGTTCTCAGACTAAAAAAAATGTACCATAATACTGTACATACAAAAACTTTTCAACAAGAATGATTTAAATATTATCTCTTTTTTCCCAGATCTGGAAGACATAAATGTAAAGTTCCATAACAGTATTATTGCTGAAATATGTGCCCAGGAACTCAGTGTTCCTCCTTTTCTCCCCCTTGTCCCAGCCCCGCTTTCAGAGTCCCCTGAGCGTCGGTCATGAGCCAGCGGCATCCCTGAAGATAAGCAGAGCCAAATGTTTACTCAGCGGAGGCCATTACTCAGGGAGCGCCGCTTACCGCGAGCTGCGAAGAGCGCAAGCTTCAAGCCCGGCCAGGATTAAATCCAGACGGAGGCCTTCCCATCCCCTGATTTGCTACTAGCACTGCTCTTGTTGGACCCGGCTTTGGCTTTCTTCTCCCGGGGGCCGTCGGGGTTGTTCTGGTGGCCGTGGGCCTGGATCGCTAGGTCCAGGCGCTCCTGAGCCATTTTGACCTCCCGCTGCAGGGTCTCCAGGTCCGCGGGGAGGTTCTCCTCGTGGCTGCCGTACTGCTGTTCCTGGGCGATGTTGGCCTTGTTCTGCTTGTACGCAATCTTAGCGTTGGACAGCTCGGTGTACTGAATTTGATCCGGTTTGACGGCAACGTTATAGCCAGGGGGAGCAGACGGCGTATTCCAAGTGAAGGGGTAATTATAAGCACCCGGATCATCCAGTTTCCTCCTTTTATTGTTTAGTGAGTCCCGAATTGTCCCAAACCCTAAATGAAGCATTTCCCAAAAGTTCAGCAGGAGGCAAAGGCCTGTGACACCATACATTATCAGGAGGAAGATGGTCTTTTCGGTGGGCCTAGAAATAAAGCAGTCTATCTTATGAGGACAAGGAAGTCTACTGCACACATAAAACGGGTGGACTTGGAAGCCATAGAGAAAATACTGCCCTATCAGAAAACCCACCTCGAACACGGTCCTTATCAGCAACTGCAGCACGTAGATCTTCATCAGCCCGTCCTCCTGGATCTGCCGGCGGCCGTCATGCTTGGGTTTAGGTTGGCTCTGCACTTTATTTTCTTTCTCATTTTCCAGTTCCATTTCTGGATACATCATGGGATCCTCTTCATGGTCGTCTTCCGTTTCTTCCAGAGCCCGGTGCTGTTTCCAGCGCACTGCATAGGGCTTGCCCCGAGCTCCTTTCTTGTCTGCTTCGCTCTGCTCCATCTTGGCAATCTTATGAATGGCATAGCCCAGGTACATCACCGAGGGCATTGCCACCAGAATGATCTGGAATACCCAGAAGCGCACGTGGGAGAGGGGCGCGAAGGCATCGTAGCAGACATTCTCGCAGCCCGGCTGCTCCGTGTTGCACACAAATTTGCTTTGCTCGTCATAATAGATGGACTCTCCTCCCACCGCCGTAAGGACAATCCGGAAGACAATCAATATAGTGAGCCAGATCTTCCCCACGAATGTGGAGTGGTTGTGGATCTCCTCCAGCAGGCGAGTCAGGAAGCTCCAGCTCATGGTGGTGGAACTGGTTTGCCCTGATAAAAATGGGAAAATGTCAAAGAAAAAGCAACAAATAGGAAAATCTGAACAACTTAATTTTTCGTCGACATCTCTAGGAACTACTCTTTTGAATACTTGAAATCTCACTTTAAGGCTCATGTTAGAAGCCTAATCAGAATAAAGAGCATCCTGCTCCCTACGACCCCCCAGGGAAGACAACTGACCTCAGTCTGTGAGCACGACTTTGGACCTACCGACTCCTAGAAGTCTGGTTAGCCTTCATGGCTTCACTAGTTTCAAAGGTAAAACTGTAGCTAACATCGGAGATGTGTTTCTCAGACCCAGCCTACTGGATTCTTCATGTATATGATTATTTCATAAGCCTTCTTTGTGAGATACAAAGAAGAAAGTAGTGAGAGGTGTAGCTATTCTGTCCTCTCGTGGTAAGACTCTCACTGAGAACATCATGGGGGACACTTGGGTTGGACCCCATTGTGAAGAGGTACCTTATTAGGAAATTTAAATTTTGGACCTGGTGACAAAGTATTAAAAAGAATTAAGGAGACGATACAGCTGCAAATAACTGGCAATGATCGAGAACGAAAACAGAAGGCAGAAAGGAACTAGGAAGACGCTCTCTGGCTAGACTGCACAAGATAGCAGATTCTAGAATTCTGTATACAGCTGTATTTGGTTTGTGGTAGATTTATGTTTGCAAACTGAACTGTCAGGACATTAAATCCAATCCACAGGCAAATCCATTCAAAACAGCATTTTGAAGGCCAGTTTTATTCTGAGATTCTTAGATCTATATGCCCAGCATCCGGGTAACAATCATCTAAATGAGACGACGTATATACAATCCCTAATGCGACCCCTGACACAAAGCACACTTCTCTCTCCTTCTCTTCTTCCCACTCCCAGTTTCCTTTTGTAGATTATAGGTGATTATCAGCACCAAAGAAGTTTAAATATACTTTACCTGTTACTCAGAACTTGTTATTCAGAATTTTCTTAGAGAAATGATGTTTTGCTTATAACTTTTCCAGATTCCCTCTGGAAGGAAAAAAGACAAGAGAAGGTCACCAGCTTCCTCCTACAGAAAATGATCAATCATTAAAATGCCATTTTCAGGAAGAAACAAGTTTTCTATGGAGCACAGGGATTAATCAGCATGAGGAAGAAACATGCTTGAGTTTGAATCCCTCCAAATATTCCTCCCAATACATGTGGTAGGAGAAACTACATTTAACAGTGACCCAAAGATTAAGTCACTATAGTCTAAGGACCTATGACAGGAAGATGAGTCATTCTTGAAAACATGAAGCAGATCAACTCTGGCACCTATAGGAAAAAGCCAAAGAAGAAAAATCTCAACAAATGCAAACTGGGTCACAAAAGGCCCTGTGAAAATCTTCACCCTGGATGCTCTAGTCCCCTTCTATTCCTTGGAGCAGCTAACACCTCTCACCAGATTTGAATGGCCAACAATGAGCAAGCTGTTTAGTTACAACACCCAACAGCTGGCCCTCAGTCACTCGGACGCTTGAATCCACTGGAAGTGATTTATGGCTTCACACAAAGAAACTGCTCACAGAAAGAAAACACCTGCATCTGTATTGTGATTGAAAAAAAAAAATCACCCAGGGGTGTCTGGCTGACTCAGTCAGTGGAGCGTGTGACTCTTGATCTTGGAGTTTTGGGTTCAAGCCCCACATTGGGTATAGAGATTACTGAAAAATAAAATCTGGGCGAGGGGAGCACCTGAGTGGCTCAGTTAGTTGAGTGACTGACTCTTGGTTTCAGCCCAGGTCATGATCTCATGGTTTGTGGGTTCAAGTCCTGGGTAGGTCTCTGTGCTAACAGTGCAGAGCCTGCTTGGGATTCTCTCTCTCTCTCTCTCTCTCTCTCATCAATCTCTCTGCCCATCCCCCACTCTCTCAAAATAAATAAACTTAAAAAAAAAAAGGCAGATAGTACAGGCAGCTACATAACACAGAAGTAGCAAGATTACATGCAGCAAGATTACACGCAGAATCTGACCACACAAGCATCTCATCACTTCTCTCACTGAATATACAAGTCATAAAACCACAAAAGAGTAATATGCAATCTTTAAATGGTGACATCAGTCAAGTTTCTTTTTTTTAAATTTTTTAATGTTTTATTTATTTCTGAGAGAGAGAGAGAGAGAGAGAGACAGCGTGAGCAGGGGAGGGTCAGAGAGAGAGGGAGACACAGAATCTGAAGCAGGCTCCAGGCTCTGAGCTAGCTGTCAGCACAGAGCCCGACGCAGGGCTCAAACCCACAAACTGTGAGATCATGACTTGACCCGAAGTCGGACACTTAACCGAGCCACCCAGGCACCCTGACATCAGTCAAGTTTCTAACACAGAACTCCCGTAATGATTCACACCAAGTTCAGACTCAGATTTTTCCAAACACCACCTCTAGAGCATTTTCCCTAAAGCCTGAAATTCTATATATTCCAATTAGTCAAAATTATCACTGTATAACTGTTAGAAAACTCATCCCCTACACCTCCCTCCGTACCAAAGACCAACAAATATCTTTTTAGTGGTTATTGTGATGAAAGAGTTCTCAATGGTTTAGCATCTCATAGAATAATCTACTTTTTTTGGGGGGGGGGAGGAAGAATGAGTGATATGTCTTCAGAGCTTATAAAGCGGCAATTTATACACATACAGAAGTAGGCATCGTACCCTGGTTAAGATAAAGGCTAGACTTAGAAAATGCTGAACCCTAAGAACTTGGCTTCCTGAGGGGAATCATAAATGCCACAGTCCCCTGTACCCATACCTGAGAGACAGAGAGAGAGAGAGAGAGAGACAGTGTGAGCAGGGGAGGGTCAGAAAGAGAGGGAGATACAGAATCTAAAGCAGGCTCCAGGCTCTGAGCTGGCTGTCAGCACAGAGCCCGACATGGGGATTGAACCCACGAACCGTGAGATCATGACCTGAGTCAAAGTCGGACGCTTAACTGACTGAGCCACCCAGGCACCCCTAGAAGTGATGTGTTTAATAACTTAACTCCAACATCTCATAAAATGGGTAACAGGAAATTTAAAAAAAAAATTTTTTTTAACAGTTATTTTTGAGAGAGACAGAGCACAAGTGGGGAGGGGCAGAGAGAAAGAGGGAGACACACAATCTGAAACAGGCTCCAGGCTCTGAGCTGTCAGCACAGAGCCCAATGTGGGGCTCGAACCCACCAACTGTGAAATCATGCATGACCTGAGCTGAAGTCGGACGCCCAACTGACTGAGCCACCCAAGAGCCCCAGGAAATATTCCTTCTATATAACCATGGGTTGGGGCGCCTGTGTGGCTTAGTCGGTTGAACATCCAACTCTTGATTTTGGCTCAGGTCTTGATCTCAGGGTCCTGGGATCCAGCACCACACTGGGCTCCACCCTGAGCATGAAGCCTGCTTAATATTCTCTCTCTGCCCCTGCTGCACTTGCTCTCTCTCTCAAAATAAATAAACATTTTAAAAAACACGTAAGGGGCGCTTGGGTGGCTCAGTTGGTTAAGTGTTCAACTTGAGCTCAGGCCATGATCTCACGGTTTGTGAGTTCGAGCCCCACATGGGGCTGTCTGCTGTCAGCACAGAGCCTAATTTGGATCCTGTCTCTCTCTGCTCTTCCTTTGCTCGCGCTCTCCCTCTCTCTCAAAAATAAACATTAAAAAACATTTTTTTAAGTAAATAGAATAAAATAACAATGGGCTTCCTGAAACGAATGGCAGTGTCACCACTGTTGTCATCAACCAATGAGTCAATAGATTTTTCTTTGACACTCTTTCCAAATCCCTTTCCTTTCCTTCCAAGCATTAAGAGAATGGCTTAAATACCAGAGTATACTACTCCGAGGATGGGGGGAGATGGAGGGAGAGAATACAGAATGAGTAAAAGGGTGGGTTCTGGAATTGACGTTTCTAAGAAGAAATGTGTCATTGCCACGTGTGGTCTCACTGTGTTCCTGTTCCACTACAGTTCCCTTTCTTCTGAACCATTTTGGGCTCTCCTATCAGAAACCTAAAAGCCAGGACAGTCTTCTCTGACTTCCCCTTTTCAGCAAACAGACACGAATACACAATGGGGAGTGAGAGTATGCAATTAACCTGTGAATGGCTCTCACGGACACATAAGAATCATTTCCATACTTCATCTTTTGAAGAAAGTGCCATGGGAGCGCAGGGGGTGGGGGGCACAGAAGGAGCACACGGGAGCACAAGAGGAGGGGATGGCAAGCACCTCAATGTTTTTTCTAAGAAAGCCCCAATTAAGTACATTTGTACTTAATATCTTCCTGAAAAAATATATTCTTTATGCTTTGGTTGAATTTATCTATAGACAAATTCTAGGAAGCAGGATTATTAGGTCACAGGAAACGTAAATCTGCATGGTTCTTGCTTTATACTGTCATCCAACTTTTAAACAAAAAAATTTTTTAAATATTCATTTCTGAGTGAGAGACAGAGCATGAGAAGGGGAGGGGCAGAGAGAGAGGGAGACACAGAACCCCAGACAGGCTCTAGGCTCTAGGCTCTGAGCTGGCAGCACGGAGCCCAACACAGGGCTCGAACCCACAGACCATGAGATCATGACCTGAGCCAAAGTCAGACGGACGCTTAAGCGACTAAGCCTCCGAAGCACCCCGTATGTTGTTTTATTTTTTTTCTTAATATTTTATTTTTTAAGTAATCTCTATACCCAACATGAGGCTCAAACTTACAACCCCAAGATCAAGAGTCACAGTTTGCCAGCCAGGTGCTCCTCAATTTATATATTTTTAATATACCAAGACATACTTCCCCCATATCCTTCCCCGCTTCCTGGGTTATTTCTAGCCTTTTGCCCATTTATTTGCAGAAAATATTTTTTTAATTTTTATTAAAACAATTTTTAATGTTTATTTTTGAGAAAGAGGGAGAGAGAGAGAGAGACACACACACAGAATCCAAAGAGGGCTCCTAGCTCCAAGCAGTCAGGACAGAGCCTAATGCAGTATGAACTCAGGAGTTGTGAGATCATAACCTGAACCGAAGTCGAACGCTTAACTGACTGAGCTCCCTGGGTGCTCGATGCCGAATATACTCTAATATAGTATGGACACTAATCATTTGGCTTTTAACATAACACTTCACTTTATTGTCTTCCTTTAATTTTTATTTTTTTAATGTTTATTTATTTTGAAAGAGAAGGAGAGTGCAAGCAGGAAGAGGCAGAGAGGGGGGGAGGGAGAGAATCCCAAGCAGGCTCTCGACTGTCAGCATGGAACCTGACGTGGGGCTCGATCTCATAAATTGTTGAGATCATGACTTGAGCCAAAATCAAGAGTCTGAAGTTTAACCGACTGAGCCACCCAGGCATCCCTCAAATTTTCTTGTTTTTATATAGTCCATCAGTCAATTTCTTGCATAAATTCAAAAGTGGAAAAAACTATTCCTCCTAGGATGACTTTTTAAGTAAAGACTACTATAATTCACGGTAGCCCATAATTCAAAAGGATTCACACAAACGAAATAACACACACTGAAAAAAATCTTGTTTGCTTATATAACTTTTATTGGACATAAACCAAATGTGCTATTTTTAGTCCATTTTCCAAATAACTAAAGTTACAAATCTACCTTGTCTTATCCTAGAAAACAGAATTTTAAAAATTAGTTGGCATAAACATGGTAATAAATTACATAATTCCCTCCCAAATACTTTGCATTTGAAGTTTTCTATGGTTATCAGGATCAAGCCAAGTTTACCACATTTTCCTGTAAAATAGAACTCCTAGGATTTTTGAAGATTAAATACAAAGCAAATTATTTGGATTATCCCAGGAGGTAGATTACATGATTGGATCCCTTCTAAAGATGAAGAAATGAGATCAAGAAAGCTTACAAAATTGCCTAAGACCATACAGTTATTAAAGCGGTGAAGCCAGAATCTGAAGTCAGCCAGTCTTGCTCCAGAGTCTGGGCTCTTAACCACCAGTGAGGAATTATACTACAGATAGAACTACATATAGGTTTCCATGTG